CAGCAACCCTCAGTTTGTTTCCTATGATTAACAGTCTCTTACAGTTTGTCTCCCTCTCTGATTTTGTCTTGTTTTATTTTTCCCTCCCTTCCCCTCTGATCCTGTTTTGTTTCTTAAATTCCACATGAGTGAGATCATATGATCATTGTCTTTCTCTAGCAAAAACATTTTTAAAGTGGAGAAATGATGTAAAGCTCATTCTGACAATTGGGGTAACAATTATAATTTCAATCTAATTATCAAAATTGAGTACTCCTGAAAAGACAGGGCAGAGAATATAGAAAGCACAGTCCAAAAGATAAAAAATACTTTGATGTGTATCCCTTCTAACTGCCAATGTCCATATTTTTCTTTACGGAAAATAAAATCCATAAGGTCCTAAGCATTTAAAGGCAACTGGTTTGAAGGTATCCAAACAAGGCGAAACTTACCAATAAAATATAGAAGAATTAAAGGCTGTGCAAGCCTACAGGATGGTACACTACTACTTCCTGCAGCAGGAATGTATGTATCAATCTCTTTTGTTTCTCCCTGTCTATGTATTGAGGACCAGATGAGGAACGGACCGATACACAGTAATATAAAGTGTGAAGATGAAAGAGAGGCAACTAAGCCCGCTTCTGAACTGCCCCCGAGACCCTGATTCTGGCGCTGCCGCATCGCAACAGAAGGGAGACTACCCTGGCTTTCAAGAGACAGGAATGCTGCAAACGGGGCTACCTGACACGTGACCTTACGTGCCCTGCACTGCCTTTTTTGACCTTCTCTCCAAAGTTCTGCCTACTCTGCTTCGAGACATTCCCACCCCCATGAAACCACACACTGCCATCTAGACTGTCCAAAACCTGCTGTCTGTCCATTCCCCCAGGCCTCCCTTGAAATGCTCCCTTGTCCAAGCTACTCATTTCCTGGGCTTATGACAGTGAGGAGTGGGAAGAAAAGCCAGGTGATTAAGGGTGATTGCACTAAAGGATTCCAAGAACAGTCCTTGGTCCCAGTAAAGGATGTGACTAAAGCATGTTTTCCCATCACAAAAGGGATCAAGTAAGACAGCATGAAGAATACAAATGCACGAACACGAGTTTAAAAACAAGTTAAAGCATATGTTGTAAAATGGTGGGTCCGCAGGCCCTTTCCTATAGCAGTCCTCATTTCCAGAACCGTTCTGATTAAAGCAGGTCTGAGGAGCCCAACCCCACACGCAAGCACCTACCTCTCCTTCCTCCCAAACACAGTACAGTCTCCAAAGCACCTTTCTCTCACACCAGGACTCCACAGACACGTAGAACATGAAAACCACTGCTGGAGCACACTCCCACTAAAGGTAGAGATCTAGGAAGAGCCTGGACTAACATCCTTGAGTTACAGAAGAGAATAGGGCCCAAAGAGTGTTACTTGTTCAAAAGCACACAGCTCTACTCAGCTCTACTCAACCTTCTGGCTGCCCAACCAGTGAGATCTCTACAAAATGGCGCTGAAGAAAAATCTTTGCAACTTATATTAACAAGACAAAAAACTATTCTTATGTAAATACTTGGTTAGTCTATTTTTCAAAGTAATTTAAATATCCCCTGGGCAAGCACAGTTTTTTTACTTACTACTACTAATAAACCTTGTTTGTGGAGGATACTAAAATAAACCAGAGCCTATCAAAAGAACACAAACTCTGATTTTCCGCAATCCCAACAAATTTTAGAATTTTACTATTTTGAAAAGTTAGAAGTTAAAAAAAATTAAGATTGCAAAAATCCTTAACAGTCTTCTTTACAAGGGTGCCAAGACAATTAAATGGGAAAATTGTTTTTTTTTTTCAGCAAATGTTACTGGAACAACTGCATATCCCCAAACAAAAGAAAACAGCTGGACCCCCTACTTCACACCACATACAAAGGTTAACTCAGAAAGTAACCTAATATAAGAGCTAAAACTATGAAACTAAAGACAGATGAAAAGATGTTCAAGAATCATTAGGCTAATGCAAATCAAAACCAAAGCAGATACATCAGTTCACACCCACCAGGACAGCTAGAAACCAAAAGACAGTAACTGGTATTGGTAAGTATGCAAAGAAACTGGAAACCTCACAACACACTGCTGGTGATGAGATTATAAGGTGGTGTTAAACATGTAAAAAGGTAAAACACAGTTACCAAAAGACCCAGCCCTTCCACTACTAGGTACATGGCCAAGAGAAATGAAAACAGGTCCACACCAACACCTGTACAAGAATGTTCAAAGCAGTGTTAATCATCATAGGAAAAAAAAGTGGAAGAGATGTGGAAAATAAAGGCAGAAGGAAATGTAGATAAAATTAAATGTCCTTATTACATGCAGCCCATTGACAAATACTTGAGGCAGGCAGAGTATAATGCTCCTCCAGGAAGCTCCCAACTGTCTTAATGTTAATGCCTGGCTAGAGGAAAAAACAACCTTGGTTTGACAATAGCAAGGCCTCAGGTTTCCCCAGTCTTCTTTTAGCATATGAAAATCCTTTTGAAACTTCCCTTATCTTTACTTCCCCCCACCCCAAAGTATATCATCTGTTGCTTCTCACAATCCCAGGGCAGCCTCTCCTTCTGCCCACGGGTCCTATCCCCGTGCTTTAATAAAACCACCATTTTGCACCGAAGATGTCTCAAGAACTCTTTCTTGGCCATTGGCTCTGGACCCCACCAAACACACCAACATCCAAAAACTACGCCATTTGGTGCCCAACGTGGGGTTCAAAAGTCTTGGCATCTGGAC